GAGGTCTCTAGATGAATCTCTTCTCCAGAAGGAAGTCCACTGATGTCCCCTACTCCAGAGACAGAGGCTTCTGGACCTTCTCCAGAAGGCAGCCCACTGAGGTCCCCTACTCCAGAAGCAGTGCCCTCTGGGCCCTCGCCTCCAGAGGGCAGCTGGCTAACCGTAGGAGTGGTGGGCCACGTAATTCTATCTTCATCCCCTGAGGCCAGTCCACTGCCCACAGGCAGGCCTGAGCCCACTGCAGAGGTAAGACCACTGGAGTCAAGGTCTTCAGAGGGCAGTCCACTTGCACTTCCCTCTGAGGGGTGCCCACTGGAGTCCAGGTGTCCTGAAGCTTCTCCACTGCCTGTGAAGTCACCACTGACTTCGGGCACCCCTGATGCCTCCCCAGAGCTGGGCAGCTCTGTCCAGCTGGGCACTGGGAGTGAAGGTGTGGATGGCTCCTCCCAGGGGAACGGCTCCTCAGAGGGGGATGGCTGTTCCGAGGCCAAGGGCACTTCTGTTTCCCAGGGGCCTTCTGTGCTCTCCTCTGTTGCTGCACTAGTGGGAGGCCACGTAGGAGGAATCCCTGGAGGAAAAGAAGAAGAAAGATGAGATGTGGAATTAATAACTCTGCCCCATTTTAAGCTCACGCGGAGAAGCTGAACTCTATTCCTTCCACAGTAAAACTTTTCTGTCAAGAGCTCAGAGACATATTGAGACGTTTTCCAATGGAACCTTGCACAGTGTCTTGGGAAGGAAGGGAGGGAGGGAGGGGGCCAGGAAACTCCCCGCCACCCTCAGGCTGTGCTTTGTGAGACTCTAGGGGGCGCCATCCACACAACCCACGGGATGTGTGGGCCTGGCTACCACTGAAGGCAATCACAGTCACCTTTCAAGTACTTCCACATCATCATCTCATTTATATAGACCCATGGTTTTCAAAGTGTAGTCCCTGGACCAGCAGCACCAGCATCACCTGGGAGCTTGACAGAAAAGCAAATTCTCAGTTCCCACCCCAGCCCTGCTGAATCAGGGACTCCGGGGTAAGGCCCAGCACGCAGTGTTTCAAGAAGCCCTCCCAATGATGCTGATGCTCGCTGAGTGTGAGAATCATTCATCTAACCCATCTCTCTGAGGCAGGGAGGGCCAGGTGCTGCTGTTTGCAAAAATACAACAACATTTTCAACTCTGAGAATCCTATTCCAGAGGATTTGGAAAAGAGAGATAAAAAGGAAACCCCATCATTTTAAATAATTACAATTACATTATTTTCTTTCTGTCTTGTTTCCTTTGGCATTTAAAAAATAGCCTAGCTGGAATGTCACCTTGCATGTACTTTTGGGCTAACTTCCCAGGTGGGCAAGCCGGGCAAAGAGCGTGCCAGGTCCCACGGGGCAGGCTCACAGTTTACTCCTGCTTAGAGGAGGGTCCTGGAGTGGTGGTCAATTCAGTATGGCAGTGGTGGCACGCAAGAGGATTTTAGGCAGGTGTATATGTGTATCAGAAACCCCCTGGGATGGCCACTTACAGTCATGATGTCATATTTCTCTTTTAAATAAATTTAGATTTCTTTTTAAAAGAAAGTCAATTTAAAGAAAAAGACATAGAGTTAACAACAGTACAGATGGTTCCCAGGTATGGTCAAAATCAGAAGGTGGTCAGAAATCGAAGTTTGGAAAACATTTCTATGGGGCGGCTGGAGCCCCTTCCCATGGATAACTCCCTCTAGTGGCTGCCAGGGTCTTCTGCCAGGCCACACACTCATGTCAAACAGGACTCAGTTACCGTCCTGCAGAAGGGTGAGGAAAGGGCCCTGGGCAAGTGAGGCTGTTTGGTGAGGTCTCTGGGCCAGAATCCCACCTGCTCCACTGACGCACTTCCCGCTCCCGGCATGGAGGGGGCCAGGCTTTGCACTGCCAGCACCCCAAGGAGTGCCCGGCACAGTGAATTATCCATACATTGAATGAGTGACTGGGGGAATTAGGGAGAAGCTCTGATACACTCTTTTCTTCAAAATACACACACCTCTGGGTGAGCTGACTCGACTAGGCATGCACACATTACCATACACTGCTTTAATTCAGACTTATCCAAACTGGGCAATGTTAAAATTGCTCCATGAAAAAAAAAGGCCCTGTAGTCGGATTCCTTTGGGACAGAATACATCACCCCTCTGCATTACAGTGCAAATTAGCATATCCAAGGCTCTGAGAAGGTCTGCAGTGAGGAAACCTGTTGATCTTTCTGTAAGTCAGCATTTCCCAAACCTTATGGCCATAAAACTCTTTTTCCAACAGGGTTTGGGGACTGCTGCCTTCATCCTATCAAGTCCCATCTGATCTGACCATGATAGAGGGAGCTCAGGAAGCTCTGGCTGGGGAGGCTCGGCCCAGAAGAGGGACACGAGAGGAGGAGAAAGGCAAGGAGACAGGTCACAGTCAGACTTTGAACAACTACCCCTCCCAGGCCTTTCCCCCTTGTTGGAGATCCTCCTACAAGAGAGATCGTAAAAGAGGAGGGGGTAGGGTGAAAATTCAGGGGGACAGAGTGAGGACCCTCTTGTCGGCACGGGGGGAGTGTTTGGGGTGTGTAGGCAGGAGAAATAAATGAGGAGAGAGACAGAGGGAGTGAGAGAGAGAGAGAGGGTGAGAGAGAGACAGATAGAGAGAGAGGTAGAGAGGGAGGGAGGGAGAGCAGGAGGGAGAGAGAGGGTGACATGTTTTATGAACAAGACCACCCTTGCTCGCACGCAGGGGAGGTCTTAGAGGCCCGCCAAGGTGGCTGAAGTTGCCCACAGCGGCACACCCAGGTAATGTGAGGGCCGGGGAAAGAGCACAGGTCGCAGGGGGAGAAATCACCCCTGGGACACACCCTGGGCAGACAGGGGTGTGCAGCTTCAGGACATGCCCCAGAGTCAAGCCACACGAACCTGGCAGTGGGAAAGTGCCCACTGGAGTGTAGGCTGGTTCCCATTCCGTCTGGTTTTCTGGCTCAGTGGTGAAGGCTGGGATTGCCGTCGTCTCCTCCCCCAAGGGGACAGCAGCCAAGCCAGGCGCCACTTGGGTGGTGATCCAGTCCTCCACGCCAGAGGGTGCTGTGGGTGTGCCACCCTCCTCTTCTCCTGGAGAGGGCGCTGCTGAGACACCTAAAGGGGATGTGGGTGGTGAAGGTTCCTTCTTACCAGTGACCCATTCCAGGCTGGCCCTTCTTGAGGGGAGCCAGGGAACTCTGAGGTGGGCCAGGCCTGTGCAAAAGCCTTGCTGGGCCTCGACCCCCCTACCTCCCAACCCCCACATCCCCCACTTCTGTCCAGCAAGATGGCTCTTGGCCTCCTCAATTTATAAGAGCCATTTACATCAACTACACAATATCAATTTGCACACACCTTCAGCACTTTATTTCAGGTGGTCTGGGGTATCTCTTCTGCAGAATCTATTATACGTGCCAGGCATTGTTTAAAGGTGTTATGTATATAAAATCATTTTATCTCACAACAGCCTTATGAGATAGATACTATCTATTATCTCATTTACAGATCGGGGAACTAAGGCACAGAGTTAAGTTACTTGTCCAGGGTCAGTGGCTTATAAGTGGTAGATCTAATCTCTGAATCCAAGTATCTGGTGCCAGACTCCATGCTCTCAACTGCTGCATGATGCTGCCTTTCTGGGGAAAGAAATTATGTTCCAAGTTTGTCTGGATCAAAACCAGGAAGGTGCTGTTTACAATCCATGAAGCCATCCTGGCAGTGGAAGGGGGAGGCAGGGTTCATCCCCTGAGGGTAACTGCTCTGGTTTAGGGGAACCAGCAGTGGGCTCGGTTGGGAAGGAAGCTGAACTTCTCTGCAGTTATATAAAAGGCTGGGTTCACAGAGGGTCGGGGTGGTGCAGGGTGCATGACTGGGAATTTACTGTTAGGCTAGCTGGCTTGGCCCCTGCAGCCCAGAGCAGGGAGAGGGATACTGGGGCAAGAGCCTCACCAAATCCCCCGTTGGCGGGGGTGGTGGTGGTGGTACTGGGATTGGCCTCATTGAGGCTGGTGGAGTGGGGCTGAACTTTCTTTGAATTGGGTTTTAAAAGGTAACCCTGGCAGTCTGGGAAACTTGGGGATGTTCAGGGTTTTTTAAAAATTAACTTTATTTTGAAATATTTATAGGCTCACTGGAAGGCACAAAGACATTCAGTTTTGATGTATAATATGTAAAATGTGGCACAAGCTGTTACTACAATCTAGATTCTGGTCAGCACACCCAGACCCGGCGACACTGTGAGAACTCATCCAATCAGAGCCCGGCAAGGTCTTGGCCATGCCCTGGCCACGCCCACTGACCTGTCTGATGACATCCCTCTCAGAATGCTTACTGGGAATGATGGCTGATGTGGCAGCAGTGGGTCCTCAGCATGGGTCAATTAAAAACATGTATTTCTGGTGCTTAGTGAAGAATAATAGACTAATTTGACTAAACTCATCACAAAAATATTTAGAAGCAGGAGAAAATCTGACAAGGGCAAACAAATTAAAACTGTGTGTGTTATTTATTTACAATAATAAAGCTAACACATATTGAGTCCGTTTACTATGTCCCAGGCACTATGCCAAGTGTTTTAATGCACTATCCCAGTTAATCCTTACAGCAACTCTTTGAGGTAGGAACTATTATCATTGTTTTATAGATGAAGCAGAGGAACAGAGAGGTTAAGTGACTTGCCCAGGGTCACACAGTTCCTAAGCAGCAGAGCCATAATAAGAATTTAGGACTGCCTGATTTTAGAGCCCAACTTCTTACTCACTTCTCTCTATTTGTCTCTGGGGAACTTGAGACGGATGTACTTGCCTTGGGGTCAAAGCTTAAGGTCAGGCTAGCTCCAGGGCTGCCCTTGCCCCAGAGGGACTGACTTTTCTCCTTGCTCTGATGGATGGGGACAGTGGACAGGGGCCAGAGGGGTGAGCCCAGGGGAGTCACTCCCCAGGCAGAAGTGGGGCTGGAGGACAGGTAAGGACACATACCTCGGAAGCAGAAGGCATGGTGCCGGGACAGTGGGTCTGGGAGGCCTGTCTGGTTGGGGTAGAGGTAGACGGTCCTCACGCCTGGCTTGTCTCCGCCACAGGCGGGTCGTGGGGTGACGATGGGGTAGCGGAGGCTTCCGTCTGCCAGCCAGCCGGCGTAGCACTTGTCCAGGCCGCGGCTCCAGGCGGCATAGAGCTGGCCCGTGGAGGCCAAGGTGGCGTTGTGGGATTCACAGAACTCCAGGGCTTCCTGGAAGGTGAACTGCTCCAGGCGTGTGGCGAAGAACACCTCCCCTGGGGGCAGAGGCGGTGGCAGGCGTGACCCTTCAGGCCCATGGCCAGCGCAGCCTCTGCTCGCCCAGGGGCAGGGCAGCTGAGCTGAGACAAGCTGGTCACCCCACATGGAAACAACCTCCCCACCTTTCTAGATTCTCCAGTCACCCATGGCAACACGCTCCTCTGGCTGAGAGGTACTCCCCCGGGCACCTCCTGTCCCCTGTGCTCCCCTACACCACGCACTCATCCGTGAGCACTGCGAATGCTGTGGACCTGCCGCCCCTACCCCCCGCCCCTTGTGAACCGGCGGGGCGGGTCCTGTAGCCACCGTCTGGGGTCGGGTCCCAGTACACAGAACTGCACCCGGGGACCTGTCTGATTTGGAGGAAGCAAGTTCACATTTCCCCAATACCTACTTGTGCCAGGACCTTTTCACACGTCTCATTTAATAATCAAAAAAGCCTGATGTGAGCACAGATCAGCCCCATTCTATAGATGAGGAAACTGAGGCCTGGAGAGTTTAAGTGACTTGCTCAGGTCCTGACACAAGTGAGTGGCAATGCTGAAATCTTTCCAGAACTGCAGCATTTCCAAAATCGGGTTCTGTGGAATCGTAATTTGGTGATTTTAATTGACATGAAAAGAAATTAAATAAAATCAAGGGTCTGAGGTTAAATAAGCTAGGCGAGGCTGGGTTAAGCAGAGTTAAAGAGGGCTTTTCCTGGCAGGACTTCTCGGAGTCTGATCTGCTCATGGACACTGGGGATCTCCACGAGGCAGGTGGCGTATATAACACTTATTTATGATAAATAAATTGATTTGTCCACAGAGGTCATTGTTTTTTTAAGGCACCGATGCTCCCCTGCTATGCTGGCAAAATCCACATGAACCCTCTGGGAGGGAGAGAAGGGGCTTGACCTGGGGGAGGGGGGTGGGTGGGTATTATTTCCCCTGGGGAATGCTGGGTGGGAACAGGGCTGGGGGCATGGTAATTCCCTCTCCTCTTGTGTCTGCTGGTCAGCCCCCTGCCCGTCTGGGGCCCGAAATGTGAGAACCGGGCCTGTACCCTCGAGCTTGTCCACGTAGCAGTAGACATCGTAGGTTTCTGACGATGGGCGCACGCCGTAGGTCCTGACCCCGGGGCTGCTGTTCATGTCGCCCACGCATGGGGTCCGCGGGCTCACAATGGGGTATCTGCAAGAAAGGGATGGATGAGGGCCTGTTCCAGGGGCCGGGGGATGCAGGGCCCTAGGGCGAGGCCAGTGGGCCACTCTGCGGCTCGGGCAGGGCCTGTCTTCGCTTGTCCAGTGGGACTCAAGCCAGGAAGGGGACCCTCATGCAGCCAGTCTCCTGAGCAGCTGGGGGAAGGGTCTGGGGGCCCCTGGAGGATTCCTGGCTTCACAAGAGAGTCCGCTACATGGAAGGGCACTGGGCCAAGCTGGAAGAGACTGGAGGCTCAACGAGGGGCTCTCCCTCTCTGTCTCCTGGCGGGAAATGACCAAGGACTTCACGTCACCCAGGGCTCTTCTGCACCCTCTCAGAATATGCCTCAGTTCTGGGGAGAAATTAAGGGAGTGGCCGTGGAGCCACTAGTTGATGAATTAGTCCATGGTGCAGTGGGTGCCCACTCTGTGCTGGGTGCCGGGCCAGGCCGTAGCTCCTCAAGGCTGCCTCTCAAGACTGGGTTGGGCTGGGAGGGAAGCCCAGCTCGTCCCTCACCTGACGGTCTGGTCCCGCAGCCAGCCGGCGTCGCACTGCTCGTAGCCTGCTTCATACGCGGCCTGGAGCTGCTCAGGCGAGGCGATGACCGCCCCTGTGCGCAGGCAGGCCTGCTGCGCCTCCTCGAATGTCAGCGAGTAGCGATCGGAGGCCGGGCGGTAGTGGAACACGACCCCTGGGTGGGGAGGAGAGGGAGAGAAGAGAGACAGGGCAGGCTCAGGGCATGGACCCAGTGCTACAATGCCGGTGCCCATGGCGCCCGCTTCCCAAGGCTCCTCGGGAACGGTGGGATCCCTGGACGAATGACCTTCTCTTGGTCATTCCTTGGTCTTCCTTGAAGAATGACCTCTTTTCATCCCCTCCTTCCTTCTCTACTTCCAACCCCATTCCCAGCCAAGCCATTCCCCTCTGCTTGTTCAAACTGCTCCTGAACTCCATCTTCCTGAGAGATCCTGCTAGGACTCTTCTGCCATGGGTGTCCCTAGCCCTCCTTTCTGAGCTTCTTACTCGCAGACTGCTCATTTGTCCCCTTACTCTTTAAAACAAATGCATTTTTGGTGGGACGCCTGGGGGCACAGCGGTTAAGTTCTTGCGCTCCGCTTCCGTGGCCCGGGGTTCACAGGTTTGGATCCCAGGTACAGGACCTACGCACTGCTTATCAATCCACACTGTGGCAGTGGCCCACATATAAAGCAGAGGAAGGTGAGCACGGATGTTAGCCCAGGGCCAATCTTCCTCAGCAAAAAGAGGAGGATTGGCGACAGATGTTAGCTCAGGGCTAATCTTCCTCACACACACACGTGCACACACACGAACACACACACACACAACCAAATGCATTTTTTTCTTATTATAAAAAGAATAAACGTTCATTACAGAATATTTGGAAAATACAGAAAAGGATAAGGAAGAAATCAAACAATTACTGGCATTTCTTCCACCCAGCCCAGGGTCCAGGGTTCAGGGGTGGAGGACCCTCCCGGAAGTGGCTGCAACCATTTGTGCGGGTGTGCACCGGGCATACTGTGTGGGCGTGCACCGGGCATACAGTGTGGACACGCACCGGGCATACAGTGTGGACACACACCGGGCATACAGTGTGGACGCGCACCGGGCATGTTGTGTGGGTGTGCACCGGGCATTTGTGTGGGTGTGCACCGGGCATGTTGTGTGGGTTTGCACTGGGCATGTTGTGTGGGTGTGCACCGGGCATACAGTGTGGGTGTGCACTGGGCATTTGTGCAGGTGTGCACCGGGCATATTGTGTGAGTGTGCACTGGGCATTTGTGTGGGTGTGCACTGGGCATATTTCTGGGGAGTGAGCTCATAGCTTTCATCAGATTCTCCAAGGGGCTGGAGCCCACACGGTGGAGCCCTGTCCTCGAGCCCCCACCTACTCTGCCTCTCCCATTGCATTCAGCTGGATCCACATCTGTTCTTGACACTTCCCTGGGTGACTGGCCAGTTTATGTCACAGCTGCGAATCTCCAGTCTGAGTCTGTCTCACGTTCTTTGTCCTGTGTCAGAGGCTCATCTGTCCACTGGCACCTTCCCACATGGTGGCCAGTGGGGCTCTCTCCAGCCCTGGGTCCCAGCCATCATTGGAGTTACCCCCAAAACTTCTCAACAACTCCTCCTTCCCAACATATTATATTCATCTGGGCAATTCAGGCTGAAATCCCCCTCGGTGGCATCGTGGGTGTGATGGTGGATGGCAGTGTCTATCTGCCCCTCCCCCAGGAGGGGACACCACCAAGGCCCTTATGGAAGCCACCCCAGAATGTCCTTCCTGTTCAGGGACTTGAGTTTGGAAAGCAGCTGAGTTCTATGTGACGTGACATCTCAATCCTTCAGACATTTATTAAGCACCTGGAACCCCACCACCCTAGAACAGGGGGGGAAACATTTTCTGGAAAGGGCCAGATAGGACATATTGTATGGACACAGTATGGACATATTTATTAGGACATGTTTGTGGCCTAGATGGTTTCTGTCACAACTGCTCAACTCTACTACGGTAGCTCTAAATTAGCCATAGACAACACGTTAACAAATGGGCGTGGCTTTGTTCCAATCAAACTTTATTTGTGGACATTGAAATGTGAATTTTATATAACTTTCACGTGTCATAAAGTATTATTCTTCTTTTGACTTTGCCCCCACAACTATTTAACAATGTAAAACCATTCTTAGTTCATGGGCTATGTAAACAGGTGGCCAGCTAGCTTTGGCTTTGTGGACCATACTTTACCGACCCCTGTCCTGGAAGTCAGCACTGTGAGCGACCTCAGGGCTCAGCCATTGCAGTGGTTTTCAAGTGGCTCTATCCCCTGGAGGTGCCCAACGGGGCGAGGACAGGAGAGCCCCGGCTCTCCCCTCCACTTCACCTGGATCCACCTAGTGTGGCATCTTGATCTGCTTGATGTATACACTGGTTTCCACCGTGACTTCACCTGAAGGAAATGCTTTGTGGCAAAGGAGCAGGGATGTCACTGGTCTGGCCTGTCTCCCTTGTTTTACAAATGAGGACAGAGGCTTGTCCCAGGTCCCGGGTATAGACCCCCAGGCCAAGCTCGTTCCACCACCACCCCCACCCCGCCACTGCAGCCCCTGAGGGGCAGACACTTACCCCCTGGCAATCGGGGCTGTCCAGGGACCTCTGGGGCTGTGGTCACCTGTACCACGAGGTCCTCACTGGTGAAGGCCGTGATGGGGCCCAGGCCTGGCGTGGACCCCTCGGGAACGCGCCAGGGCCAGGTGGCCTCTCCAGTCTCGTTCTCCGCCTCAGGGAAGGCGGTGGCCCCCATAGCAGATGTGAAGGGCTCCTCAGGCTCCAGGACGGTGGGGGAGACCTCAAAGAAGGGTTTCACAGTGAGGATCACACTGCCTCGGGCTTCACCCTCGGTGATGTTTCGGGGCGGAGGCAGCTCCACATCTGGCCAGGTCACCGTCTGGATGGTGATGTCCTCCTCACCACTCACCGCGAAGAAGTCTTCTGGGATGTCCACAAAATCTTCACCTGGGGCAGGGGGCAAGGCAAGCTTTAGCCACTCAGCCTGGGGCTGGCCTGAGAGAGACGAGCACCCGGTCTACCTCCTCCCCTGCTAGGGAAGGAGAGCACCTTCTGTGTGCCCGCACCTTGCTGGGCCCACGGTGGGGGTCCTCAACTATTTGAGTATTCATTACAAGAGTCCCCACAGCTTCCAGATGGCAACAGAATGCAAAGTCATCACAGCACAAGACATCGGCCAATCAGCTCACTGCTTATGAAACCACTTCCTGCTGCAACATCCCTTCCTGATCAACGCCACTGCTGCCTCCTTACCTGACTTCTCAGCACCTTGTTGACCAGCTGATGTTGTAACTGGCCAGTGGGACAACGTAAATCAGTTACAAGGTGAAATGAAAAATCTTGTTAAAGATGCAGGAGCTCATCAAATTGATGGAAGTGATGTGAGAGAGCAGCCTGCCTCAGGCACGAACAAACGAGGATCGGGCAAAAACGAGCCGGTTAATAACGAAGAAAGAGAAAATCCATGAGGGTGTCACTACTTCAAAAAGGGTGTTTAGAATATCGAAAGGTTAAGAGAGGCCTTGGGGGAAATCCTAATCGTTTTCGCAAAAATAACCCTCTTCATGTAAGATCAGGCTATGAGAGTTAAACACGAAACGAGCTATGTCACTGTGCTATCACCAGTTTTGTCATAAAATTTATGCAACTCCATATTATTTAGTTTTTTTCTCCAAGAATTAACACTTAATCATAATTAAAACCTAGATTGTATAAAATGAAGATAAAAAACTTACTTTAAAAAAGTTTTAGTCTAATTTTTCAAAATAAAGTCCCTGTCAAAACTTTCCCCCCAACTCTTTTCAATAACCTGGCCCTCCTTCTAAGTTCCTTAATTGAAAAGGGCAGATAACAGCGCCCTCCTCTGGGGGCATGGTCTCATGTCAGGCCCCCTCCATCTTCCATGTGGTACCACCATCTTCCCGTTAGGAAGATGAGGAAACTGAGGCTCAGGGCCTGGACTTTTCCATGGTTGCACAGTAGCAGGTGGCAGAGCTGCGATTCAAACCTGAGAAAACACAGACTCTAAAGCTCATGGTTTTAACCCTGTTCTGGGCGGAAGAGCCAGGCCCAGACACACTGCAGCCTCAGTGACTGCTTTAGCTCTTCTAGGGAACCAGTGAAAATAGCGGGGGGACTGCTAAGACATGAGGTTCAGATACCCAAGTGGACACATGAAGGGTAAAAACCAACCCTCTATTCCATGATCTCGTCCTCTGGGCCCCAATTTCGGTGGCGTGATCCCCTCCCAGCCTCCAGCCCAGTCCCACCTGTGTAGCAGATGGCGTCGTAGCGGGACGAGGGGTCGGGGTAGCCGGTCTGGTTGGCGTGCAGGTAGACGGTCCTCACGCCCAGGAGGTTGCCCCCGCAGTTGGGCCGGGCCTTGGAGATGGGGTAGCGCACGCTGCGGTCGGCCAGCCAGCCAGCGCTGCACATGTCCATGCCGCCCTGCCAGGCCAGGTAGAGCTGGCCCGTGGTGGCCAGCCGGGCGCCCAGGCGCCGGCACTCGTTGGCTGCCTCGTGGAAAGTGAACTTCTCCGGAGACGTTGCATAGAAGACCTCGCCTGTGAAGGACACAGCGGGCAGGGTGAGGCTCTCCCTCCCGCTCCCTGCCCCGCATCCCCAGGGAGATCCACACGGTTCCTCCAGGTCTTGAGCACCCTCAGCTCGGCTCACCCCCTAAATTCTCAAAGCCCTGGTCCCACATGTCGGTATCTCAGATCCTGCCCTCCACTTCCTATGGGCTTTTGGTCAGGGTGACATCAGTTTCCTAAAACAGGGGGACCCAGAAACAAGCAGCCAAAATGGCAAGGAGGTGGGAAAGCAGAGAGCAAGTGTGAGTCCCAGGGTGAAACTGCTCCTGCTCAAAGGCGTCTCAGCCCCTCGGTTTGCTGTGGAACTTCCCACCACTAGGGCATCTTTCCTGTGAATCAAGCATTGCCCACTCAAGCAATTCTTTTAAAAAATCCAAAGTCCAATGAGAAAGGCAGGCATCAGACCCCTTAGAGCAGTGGTTCCCAAACTGGGGTCTGCAGGCCCTGAAGCATCCATAAGGCATTAGTGGGGCCTGCGAGTTCTTTTTACTATTTCCAAACACCTAACAAGGTTGTGCAGGGGTGGGGTGGGGTGGGGCGGTGGGCATCTGCTCCCGGGCACAGCCGGGTTGTCCCTGCTCAGTGGCAGCTCTGGCTGGCTGTTATATGTGTCTCTGGTTTGCCAAAAATAGGAACCCAAATACTTGTTACTTAATAGACCGGTTTGGGCCCTGAGGTGAGAGTGAGGAAGGGGGGCTATGGTGGTAAGAAAGCTGGGGGCTGCCCTGCCTCAGTATAAGCCAAGTTGTCAGCTCTTCTCCCTGGCCCCGGGACAGCTGTGAGCTTGGGGGGTGGGCAGAGGTGGCAGAGTCTGGAAAGTCAAAAGGGGTGAATGGGCACAGATGGCGGAAGGAGTGTCATCCACATGCCTGGGTAACTTGGGCAGCTCTGACTGTCACCAAAATTAATGCCCTTTACAAACCAGAGAAAGACTCCAGGTTCCTTCCGCTGCCCCCGGGGCTCTCCAGGACCAGCCCATTGGGGACGGCCTGCGTAGGGCAGGGGCTGGCAACAGGGAAGCTGAGGGGGGCGGTGCAGCCAGCTCTCCTGGGAACTATGTTTGTGATGGGCCCACCCTGGAATGGCCTGGGGTGTCCTTTGTGAGGGTGACAAGGCTGGGCTGGGCACTGATGGTGCAGTGGACCTTGGGACAGCGATGGGCTGGTCAGAGCAGCAGGGGGTCCTGGCTGGGAGGGACAGTCCCAGGTGAGAGACCAGAAGCAAGCTCTCTTGGACCCTGTCTGGTGGTGACAGCAGACAGTTTGCAGGTGCCTGGGGCCACTGATGCCCTCTCCAAAGTGGAGCGAGAGGGGGCCAGACCTGTAGGCTCCTGCCTGCCCCCACGCTGCCCTGCCCCCATCCCCTCTGGGCATGGCACAGACGGGTCGAGTGTGTGGTGCCTTGGGTCAGTGTTCTGCCTCAGAGGAGGCCCACATGATCCCAAGTGTCAGTGGGCTGTAGGGGACGGGCAGGGGGCTCTGGGGAGGGGGCGGCAGCCTCACCCTCCATCTCCTCGGCGAAGCAGTACACATCGTAGGTCTCATTGGTGTCGCGGATGCCATAGGTTCTCACGCCGGGAAACTCATCCTTGTCCCCATAGCAGCCTTCCCGAGGAGTGTGGATGGGGTACCTGCCGGAACCCAAGGTGGGGGTGTGACACGCAGGGGACAGCGGGGGCCCCAGGCCTGTGCCCATGTATCGACTCCCTTGTGGGAGGAAACGGCAACTTACTGACGTATTTGCCCGTGTCTGCCTTGGATACGTGGACTATTTGCTTTTACACTTTTTTCCCCAGCTTTATTGAGATGTATGTTTTCACAGGTATTGGTGATTAAAGGCAGCCTCCTTTACTGAATATTTATTGGTACCAAACATGTTCTGTCAGGGGCTGGCAAATCTTTTCTGTAAAAGGCCAGATAGTAAATACTTAGGTCTTGCAGGCCATACGGTCTCCATTGTGACCACTCAACTTTGTCACTATAGTGCCGAAGCAGCTATCAAGACAAGAATGGGCATGGCTGTGTTCCCATAAAACTTTATTTACCGAAATAAGGTGAGGGTTGGACCTGGCCTGTGGGCCAGAGTTTGCTGACCCCTGCTCTGTATCATTTGTCTCACATCAACTGATGAGGCAGGTACTATAACAACTCTGTTTTAACCTGGCAGAGAACGAGACCCAGAGATGTTAAGCAGTTTGTCCAAGGCGACACAGCTTCCACGTGTCAGAGCTGGGGTTTGAGCCCAGCTCTGTCTGAGGCAGAGGTGTGGGCTCTTGCACTATGCTAGGCTGTTGTCTTGTCTTTTTTTTTATGGTTAGTTGGTTTGGTGTCTTAAGATCTCTTTGCCTACCCCAAGACCACAAAGATATTTTCCTTTGTTTTCTTCTTGAGGCTTGGTGGTTCTGGCTTTTATGTTTAGAGCGCTGATCCAGCTCGAATGAATGTCTCATCCTGCCTTCACAGGCTTGCTCACACTGACTTCGAGCCCCCCAGGGCAGGGCTCCGTCTGTCCTGCTGGGCACCCATCCTTTAGCAGCTGCACTCAGGGAAAAATGCACCTAGCAGCTTAAGTTAGGTACATCTTGCCTTGTTAAAAAAAAAAAAAAAAAAAAAAGTGAAGTGGTTTACAAATATATAAAACACCAAAGTTTTAAAAAAGTAAGTGAAGAAATCGTGGCAAAGGGAAAAATAGGTAGGAAGAGTAACGATGTGTAATTTGCACGGAGAAAATGCGCATGCGGGTCAAAGTTGCTAGTAGCCACTCACTCCACTGCAGGACAGAGCACGTTAGTGCCCCTTATTTGCGTTTCACTTTCTGCAGTTAGTTAGCTGCGGTCAATCTGAAAATATTAAATGGAAAACTCCAGAAATAAACAATGCGTAAGTTTTTGAATTGTGTGCCATTCTGAGTAGTGTGATGAAATCTCGTGCTGTCCCGCTCCATCCCGCCTGGGACGGCAATCATCCCTTTGTACAGCGTATTCAAACTGTATACGCTCGTTAGTCACCTCGTAGCTGTCTCAGTTATCAGATCGACTGTCCCAGTATCGCAGTGGTTGTGTTCAAGTCACCCTTACTGTACTGTAATGACTCCAAAGTGCAAGAGTAGTGATGCTGGCGATTCAGATATGCCAGAGAAGTCAAAAAGTGCTTCTTTTAAGTGAAAAGGTGAAAGTTCTCAACTTAATAAGGAAAGAAAACAAGCATATGCTGAGGTTGCTAAGGTCTAGAGTAACTCTTATTACAGTATATTGTTGTAATTGTTCTATTTTATTATTAGTTATTGTTGTTAATCTATTACTGTGTCTAATTTATAAATTAAACTTTATCATGGGTATGGATGTATAGGAAAAAACATAGTATGTATAGGGTCTGGTACTATCCGCGGTTTCAGGCATCCACTGGGGATCTTGGAACGTATCCCCCGCAGATAAGGGGGGACTACTGTAACAAGGATTTGGGACAGGTCATCAGGTGCCTGACCTAGAGTTGGCCAAGGCATCCCTAGCAGCCCCACCAGCTCAGTGCTGGTCAACGTTCCAGCCCATGGCCCACCCCAGTCTGCTGGTGGCCTGGAGCTCACCTGACGGTCTGGTCAGCCAGCCAGCCGGCGTCGCACTGGTGGAAGCCGTCCTCATAGGCAGCCTGCAGCTGTTCAGGCGTGGCGATGATGGCACTGTTCTGCAGGCAGGCCCGCTGCGCCCTGTCGAAGTCCAGGGTGTAGCGTGTGGAGATGGCTCTGTAATGGAACACAATGCCTGCAAGACACGCGGGTGAGAGCAGGTCAGGCACAGCCTCTCATCATCGAGGCCCTCGTAGAATTACGGCAACAGTCAAAGGGACCTTAGAGACATCCGCTCCGGGCCTCTAGCCGACATTCGTGGATCCCCTCTCCACATTTGTATGTGGTCCTTCTGCCTTTGCTGGAACACCGCCAGTAACGGGGGAACTCACTACCTCACAAGGCATATTTTTTGAATACCTACGATAATTCTGATAATCACAAAGTTTTTTGAATTGAATGAAAATCTGCCTCCTTAAAATTTTTTCTTGTCACTCCAGGACCCCATATTTCCTTTGAGGAAAGAGACATTTAGAGCCCCATGCACCCTCAGCCCAGGGGCATCCTAGGGAGAGCCCAGTTTAAGGCACACCCAGGAGTGGACCGTCTTGGACAGAGCCTCCCAGTGGGAGAAATCTGGTGCTGACCAAAGTTCTGCAGCCAACCAAGGACACAACCATTCTCTTCGGGCCTTCAAGAGAAAGGGAACCAGGAAGTCTTCATCCCTTTCTTTGGCTTCTGGAACTGAGAATGAGGGGCTAGAGGTGAGGCGGGGAAAGACACCTGGATTAAGGGTCAGGAGACTGCTCTGGCTCACTTCCAGGGAAACTTCAGGCAAGTCACTTAACCTCAGTTGGCTTGTCTGTAAAATGGGGAGGGTCACGAGGCCCACGGAATCACAGGATTGTTGCGAAGCACAAACTGTCCTGTACATGTGACTGTGGCCAGGAAGCATTTAATTCCCTCAAAGTCCAGACAGAATGATATGGCCAGCTCCTCGTTACAGAGGAAGCCATTCAAGTTAATTAAGTAACTTGACTGAGATGACACCGGCGGGGGCAGCTGGTATTGGAACTCCAGCCTGCCTGGTCCACACCAGTGAGGATACCCTTCTGGTTCTTTCCGCAGGTGAAGCAGTGTCCCTGTGGAGGCTCTCACCTTTCACCACGACCTCCAGGGTGGCCTCGCTGTCCTCGATGCCGTGCATCACCTCGCAGCGATAGATCCCGGAGTCATTGGAGCGCAGGTTCCGGAGCTCCAGGGTGGCGTCGGTAGGGATGGCGGGGTAGTTGGGCAGCGAGGCCCTGTCTTGGTAGGCACTGCTGACCCGCACCTGCCCTTCAGTGGCCACCAGCAGCACCACCTCCTCCTCCTTGGAAATGCGGCTCCACTTGATCCTCGGGGCGAGGGGAGCGGTGGAGGGCGCGGTGGTCACCGGGTGCACGGGGTGGATGAAATAGCAAGGGACGGTGAGGGAGGTCCCCAGGAGGACCCGCAGCGGGGATGGTTCGGGGATGCTGACACTCAGTGAGTTGTCAGGGTCTGTGGGGAAAAGGTGGGGGAGGGAGACAGACCTGTTAGTGCCTAGAGAGGACCACCCATCCTCCCTCACAGTCCTTCTGGAAACAACAAAATCCAGTGAGCGTGTTTGTGTCTATGGTGGGGATGTCCCGTGCCATATGGAATTCCCAGGAAGCTGTGCAACACCTTTTCAGAGCAGCCTTCCTCAAGATCCCTGGTCTCTGCACCTCAAGACAGAAACTGTGGAGCCAGAAAAGGGTGGCAGAGGAGGGCAGGGGAAACCTCAGAGTTGAGACCACCTCTCTGTTTCTCAAACTGGGGTCCCATAGGGGATGCCAAGCCATAGGATAAACAGGACCCATCTTCCTGGAGTGATAGCTTGACTTAAAGATTTTGGGAAAAAATTATTTTGGGGTAGAAAAAATTATTATGAGGGAGAAAAAACATCCACACAACTTTTAAAGCTAAGATACAAAACTTCAAAGATGTGTCCCACTTGAGGAGGTCTGCTTTGGGCTCCATCCCGACTTTGCAGAAGCACAACTCATTCTCTTCTGCTATTGGGGAACTGGGGGGCCTAGCTGGAGAAGCATCAGAGAAGATCAGACATTTAAGTCTGCAAAGAGTCAGATGGGAGGTGAGGATGGGATATGATTAGACGCCACAAAAAATCATGGCAAGTATTGACAGGGAAGATGCAGTGTGTCTACCAAACCCTGTTAAGAAGTAAAAGACCTTCCTGGAATGGGAAAGAAACGGCTTTTGAAAAAATAGCACCTTTCAAGGTAAGTCATGCACTTATGGAACCCTTTTTTCCAGGACATCCTACAGGTTGAAAATAAAAATGTTTCAGATATTTGTGGGTGGTAGTTTCATAACAGGGCAAGGAAGGGGGAGCTAGGAATGTTTGGGGTCCAGCCCTAACCTTTTGATGTCCTGGGCAGTCACCACCAGGCCCTTCCACAAAAATCTCCCTCTGAATGCTCAGCCCCAGCCCCACAACACAGCACGGTGTTAGTGGTGGTGGTTCTCCAGGAAGAGCTGTAGTTCTGCAGTTTTTAAAGCTCCCACCCCACTCTAGTGAACTGGTTTGCCTGTGTGGGCAAACCACCCAAGTTACAGCCAGGGGCTGGATCTTTGTGGGTCCCAGGGGAGAGGACAAATGGAGACTCATATACCATATGTCTACATATTTAAAAGTTATAAATCAAGGCAATAGATTGTTAAATAAAATGTATTCTGTCTTCCTATTTGACAATGAAGCCTTTCAAAATGAAAAACCAGATTCAAATTTAGAATTCTTGGATTCCCTAGAGTTTTGCATTGGGATGTGTTGGCTGAGCAGGAGGAGGGGAGCCAAGCCTCCTTCTTTCCCCACTCCTGCTCTGCACTGTGAGGGGTCTGGTTTATCGCAGGCCTCACACTCCAGCTCTGTCCACACCCCATACAAACAGCCACCCCTTAACCCCTCCCTCGGGCCTAGGGGTGGCTCCTACCAGGGGCGTGGTCCCCCCATAGGAGGATGGACCCAAAGGAGAGACCCGTGCGGCCCTTAGAGTGGCTGGGGTCCACTTGGACAGGGTATTCCGGGTGTCCTGGGTACCCAGAGTATGGTCTAAAGGAGAACATAGATTGGGTAGACATGTCTCATTGGCCTTACAGACTTCTCGTCCTTTAGGGAGTGTTGGGGCTGGAGGATGGTCAGAGAGGGGCCTCTAAAGTGCATGGCCCAGGGCAGGGGCCTCTCTGGGTCTAAAGGAGATACGTCTCACTTTGGAGTAAGCCCATCCTGGGGTCAGTGGACAGTTTGTTCACTGGGTTCAAGGCTTCGTGATGAGAAATCTGCCCGGTGCCTGCCACATGCAAGAGACCAGGTGGCGGGCTTCCCGAGGACCGTTTGCCAAGAGAGGCAAAGGTCTGTGTGATTTGTTGGGGGCTTCTTTCTGACTGTTTCCCAGGCGATTTTCTCTTCTTTATGCTCCAGTCCATCCTCCCTTGGCAGCCTTTTCTCTGTGGGCTTATCTGCATCCTGCCCCAACCCCACGCTCAGCGTGAGGTGGTTCTAGGTGGGATCCACAGAGAGGATACTGGGGAGATGAGCGCCTACCAGAAGCCCTCCCCCTCGCTGTCCATCCTGGAGGGCAGCCGGGAGCAGTATTATCTGAGGGGGGGCTCCTGGACGCACGCGTGTGTGTTCACACACACGGGTGCTCTCTCAGGGCCGTTATGCTTGCATTTGATAGAAAAGGGGCAGGGCCAAGAAAAGGCCAGGTGAGGGGAAGTTATGTCCCTGGGACCAGCAGCACCGGGCTCAGTACCCAGTATCCAGAACGCCGTCTTCAGTGCCTGCTGGATAAAGGAAACGTGGGAGTGTCCTCACCTGAAACTTCTACAGATACCGCGGCTGCGATGACCCTCAGAGTCACAAACAGCAAGAGTAACGTGGTCATAGTTCACCTGGAAGAGAGGAGGCAGAGGCGTTATCAGAGCTTCAGATATGGCGAGGTTGAGGGTCAGGGGGCCCACGACACAAGGACTTGAAATCACATTAAGATAAGGAGGCTGCATGTGGTTCGAGAGAGATCTTCTCCAAGAGTCATCTCTTCACAAAACCTTTACAGATTTCTCAGTTTAATCACAGGCGTGAAGCTGGAAACCTCCTCCCGCCTTTGCTAGGGAACTTCCCATCTTCCAACCAGCAGAGGCTCATCCTGAAGTATCCTATGATGGTTGATTTGATGTGTCAACCTGACTGAGCCACGGCATGCTCAGATATTTGGTCGAATATTATTCTGGGTGTGTCTGTGAGGGTGTTTTTGGATGAGATTAACATTTAAATCAGTAGAGTGAGTAAAGCACATTGCCCTACTAATGTGGGTGGGCCTCATCCCGTCAGTTGAAGGCCTGAATCGAACAAAAACAGATAATTCCTCCTGCCTGATGACCCTCAAACTGCCTTTGGACTTGAACTGAAACATCAGCTCTTCCTGAGTCTCGAGCCTTCAGACTTAGGCTGAAGTGACACCCTGGCTCTCTTGAGTCTCCAGCTTGCAAATGCCTCCACAGTCGTGCGAGCCAATTTCTTATAATAGATCTAATCAACTCCTACAATAAATGTATATCACGTCCTATTGGTTCTGTCTTTCTGGAGAACCCTGACAAATACAATCCCCCAGGTCCAGAGAAGTGACACGGGTTACCCAACCTCCCTGATGAAATCTGGACCTGCCACCAACTTCAAATCCAGGAATCCTGTGTGTATTAGAATGGAGAATGCTCCAAGGTTTGGGGCAATATTCAGGGTCCTGGCTCAAGTCAGGGGAAGGATGCCCACCCAGAGAGCTCCCGAGGAGGCTGTGGGATGGACTGATCAATAATTTAGGAGAGAAATGAGAACCTGGGATTCTGCAGCCTTCCTGCTGGCCCAAACAATGACTTTGTGTGAATAAGAAAAACAAGCCTTTCTTGTTGTCATCTGCTGGAAAACTGTCACATTAAGTATACAAATCTGTGACAACCACAACGTAAAGGGCATCCCCTACACAGCTGGGACCATGACTCCAGTTGGGCCAGTGCAGGGAGACCCCAAGAACCCGCAACTGAATTTACAAGAGATCAGCCAGAGCAGTGGTTCTCGGCTTTGGCTGCACATTGAAATCACCTGGGCTTCAGCCTGGTGAATCACCTGTTCCGTAGGCGTTTTAAAAGCTCCCCAGCAGGTTCTCATGTGCAGCCAAGATGGAGCAGGGCCGGCTAGAGGGTGTGCAGTCACCTTGCAGACACCTGTGACTTGCGTTCCATCACACACGCCTGTTGATGTTTACCGAGCTGTTCTGTTGGATGGACCTGCATTGGCGCCCACCCTGCCATCCTCCCCAGTCTGTGAGCAGGAGACTTTAGCCTAGGCTGAAGAAGTGTCTGCATCACAGATGCTCCACAGGGAGGCGGGAGGAGGCCTCTGAGGGGAGGGAGGACCTGGAACTGAAGGCCAAGTGTGGAGCTCTCAGAAGCTGAGTAGCGCTCAGCTGGGATGGCAGCCCAGGCCGGACCTCGGCTCTGCCGGAGTCTGGTGGCCCAGCAGGCGTCGCTGTTGGCTCAGCCACCATCAGCTGGGGCTGGACTGATCTGGGGCTGAGGGGAGCATCCGAGGGGCCCCTAGGGTTCCTATCCCAGGAGGCCTGGGGGAGGGGCGAGTGGGGCCCAGGACTCTGGGCGACCCTTTTGGGTGACCCTGGCCTGCCAATTTGAGTGATCTTTCCACCACTATCCTTCATTCATCCCACGTATATGGGTCACCAGAGCAAGGAAAGGGCTGTGTATGCGGAGAGTGCTGGGGGTACAGAGAGGAATGCGTGGGGCACGTTTCCCTCACCCCAGGGGAAGTCTGGAAGATCCCAAAGGCCTCAGAAGCAGCCCCTTGCTTCGCCTCAGGGATTTTTCTACTTAGATGCTACCTTCAAAAAAATTTCTGGGGCTCCAGGTTCTGGCACTGTGAGGGGCCGCTGAGTTGTGGCGCTCTTGTTTGGTCCCTGTGTGACCAGTCACGGCCGGGAAATAGTCCCCCGGAGGCCAAAAGGGTAAGGGTCCCCTCCACTCTGGGGAGGGGGCTAGACTTGTGGGCTCCTCTCTTCCGAGGGCCTCGGGGATTCCGGGTCCAGACATAAGGCCGCCTGTTCCTCTTCCCTCAGTGCGCCCTTCACAGGGAAGTTCTGAGTCTGTTTTCAGAGTTGTGTTTCTTCCCCGCTCTCTGAACAAGCCTGACATTGTCCGGGATGCAGCGGTTCTCTGTGGGGCTCGGCCGGCACTGTTTTTCTCCCTGGCCTCGACCAGGAATGGAAAGGGTTGGGGTGGGGGTAGGGGTGGAGTGGGCAGAGGAACTAATTTTATTTCTTCTTCTTTTTTCTAAGACAAACTTTGGGATAGAAATATCGCAATAAATATGCTCTTGTGTTTGTATGTGTTTTCTCAGCTGTAAAGAAAATAGGGAGAAATTCCATTCTGTCTGGGTTCCAAGTGTCTCCAGGACTCACTGAGTCTTTTATGCGAGGAGATGGCCTTTGCCAGCCCCGTCAACAGGGAGGCCTTTCTCCACAGGAAGCAAAGGTAGGTGGTGGCGAGGGGTGGTGTAGCTGGGGCAGAGGACGGGGACGGGGCGCCTGAAATGAAGCGAGAGAGGAGCTCGGGGGCGCGGGCAGTGGATGCTGGATGAAGGCTGGGCTGTGCGAGTGGAGCTTCTGTGGGATATGCGTGTGTGGGGTTGGGTTGATCACCAAGGAACTGGCTTTCCCAGGGGATAACTGCTGGGAGACTTGATAGGGGAAAGTAAGCTTGCTAGTGCTTTTAACCTGAGCTGAGGCTGTGTGTGTGTGTGTGCATGTGAGACCCCACAGCTGGAGACACGGAAACCCTTCACTTCCTCATCAGCTAGACTCTGTCCCATGGTTACCAACCCGGCCCGGCCCTTGGCCTTTATTCCATCAAATTATGGGACTGAATGGGCACCTCAGCCATTTGCCTTGAATTCCTCTTCCAGTAACATGCAGTGGAGATCCCCAGATCTGGGTCTCAGTCCTGGCTCGGCCACCTACCACTTTAATAATACAGGATCCACCCCACGGCTGTTTCAGAGACAGAACGAGATAATGTGCCAGTCAGGCCCCCTCCTTGAGGGCAGGCCTGTGTCTCTGGCTCAATCCCCAGCACACGGCCTGGCACTCAGCAGGCATCCCTCGATGCCACTGTCCTCCCCCCTCCCTAGTGTCAGGTCTGGAAGAGAGTTCAGTTCTTTGTAGGGAGGCTTCTTGTCCTGGGATGAGGGTGGGACTAGATGACTTTCCGTAAAGAATAAAACTGCCTCATTTCAAAAACAACATCACCATACTACCAAACATTTGGAAAATAGGGAGACAGAGAAAACAAATCACCATAAGCTTCAATCCCAATCCAACCCTTATCTGTGTTTTAATAGCTTTCCTTCCTCCTAGTCTTTCTCCTTAGGCGTCCACCTGTGTTTTATGGAGTTGTAACCTTTTTGCATCCTTTTGCTTTTCCATACAACACAGTGGACCAATGACTTTTGTTGTTCCTTCAGAACTGTTGACAAGGGAGTTTTATGATCATGACCTCCCTGCCAGGGATCCTGACTACGTGGCCGAGGCAGGTGGTCTTCACCCTCTAATTGCATTGGAGGAGCTCATTCCTTCAGAAGGCGGCCCATGCCATTGCTGGGCAGCTCTGATTGTGCTCAACATCTTCCAAGATGGAGTCAAAATGACCCCCACTCCCCTTATAATTTCCACCCACGAACTCTCAGGGAGCACAGTAAACGTGGGACTCATGCCATCTTCAGGGGTCCAAACTGCTCTTGTCTGCTCTTCTCTGTGGAGACACTCCCAGGTCCTTTGCCTCTTCCTCATGTGGCTCCCAGACCACTCCTCCCTCCCTGGAGCCATAGAAGGTAGAGCTTGGACAGACTTTCATGAACACCAAGTCCAACTCCTTCATTTTATAGGTGAAGAAACTGAGGCCCAAGGAGGTAAGTGGTTTTCTCAGGGCCACACAGTAAGTTGGAGATGGAGCCAAGACCAGAACCAGCTCCAGGGTCTGGCCATCAGAATCCCATGTTTGTGAGCTCTACAGGGAGTCGTTGTGTCTGTCCTGTTCCTGAGTATCCCTGGCCTCTGGCAGAGTGCCCAGCACAGAGAGCGGGCAATCAGGAAATGTCTGCTGAATGAATGAATGCACACATGGAGGCCCAGGCACCTGAAGTCATCTCCTTCAACCACAGGCCTCTGAGCGAGGAGGTGGGGCTGGAGGCTCACATCTGTGGAGCACTCATGAGGTGCACAGCCCTTTGAGGTAGACCTCTCCCATTTTGCATTCAATAAATCTCAGCTAGGGATATATATTGTTTGCTCGTGATGTGCATAACTATATTGATTAATGCTAGTATGTCAGTATGGCGTGTGACTTTGGGAAGGTCACAGTCCACGTGCAAGCCCAGGTGTGTGACAACCAGGGTCTTCCCTTCCCAGGGCTCCAGTAGAACCAGTGGTGTGTGGAGCCAGCTTGTACTGGCTCGCCAGAGCCAATTTTAAACATTTCTTTCCAACTGCGTGTTCAGTGACGTCACATCGGTAGCTTGAAATTGGTCACGACGGGAGTATTTACACCATGGAAATCAGCAAACATTACAAATGAGGGCTTTTCTTCTTTTCTTTCCCTTTTTGAGAGTGGGCGTACCAGCACACTACTGGAACTAACACTAAATAAAGAAAAAGGCTGGAAGAAGGAGAATGTGCACTTCTCTTTTTCTGTCTAATGAAGCCTCCTTCTCTGTTCATTGTGCTGTCCTTCATGAGTCCCTGGGGTCATCGATGCTGACCCTGAAACCAAGGCCAGTTTGCCAGCCCTAGGGCAGGTCAGGCCCATGTTCGTCTCCATGTCATATTTCCGGC